TGAAACGCGTCGATTTTTACAAAGCTCATTGGTCTGAAAAAGCGAGGTGTGTTCTGATTGGCCAGCTATCCAGTGTCTTGTGATTGGCCGAATACCTCAAGCGTGTGACGGAAATGTTACGCCCCTTACCACATTGTGATGATGTCCTGTCAGGCCGAAGCGATGATTCAAAAACATGAATTGTGTTAAATACATTCTATTATTAATCCCTCATGACATTTAAAATTGAAAATATTTTTTATTTTTAAACCTAATAGCAGTTACCCTTGCTGGACCTGCTTTGTCCCATGTCTCAAGAATGACTGCTTTGCAACTTTTCAGATCTTCTTTATGCACCAAGAACTTGTAACACTCCAAAGAGAAAGGAAAAATTGAAATCGCATCATATGACCCCTTTAAATCACCATTCAACAGACTCAAGCCACCACCGCACTGCCGTCTATTGGACTGTTACTGACTGTACTGACAAACTATGATGACACCGTGTCTGCGCCGCGAGAAAGTGACCGTTGAAAATCATTTGAACTTTGTGTCAGCATGTCATAAATAGAACGAGGCATCAGTTTACTGCATCCAGTGTAGACAACATCACTGATTATAATGGATTCGATTCTACACCGGACGCGAGTGACACGGTGCGACAAAATACAATAGAAATTCTCGCGAATAGTCGCAATGTGATATGACCAATGTGATAAGCATGAGTTCTGGGCTGCGGCACGGCCGGTATAAACACCAGCATTGACTGAGTGGCCGCGATCAGCTCCGGTGGCCGTAACACAGGCTTTAATGCGTCGCAGACATGTGCCGTGATACGCAGATCAGCTCTAGTCTCTAACGTCACTGAATCTGCTGTTAAAAATGAACCATCCATTCATCATATCATCATGCAAAACTAAGAATTAGAATAATTGTAATGTGACTAGCAAATATAGGTTCAGGTGGGTGGCCCGCGGATAATTTGAAGCAGCGGACTCGGGTGAAGTTGGAGCACATCCGCGAATCTCAACACTGCACTGACCTGGGTGGCCAGTATCAAACAATGGAGCGCGCTCTGCTGGACAAACTAAGTAATTACACCATTCAGAAGCATTTAATCTGCGTTATATGTTCTGTAAAAAAAAAAAAATATTCATATCGGTGGCATATTCGCCGATACCAATATATCTGCGACAGGCTCATATCAGCCGATAATATCGGCTATAAATGCAGTTTCTAAAAGCATGGGCATTATAAACAACCTCACCTCTCAAGTCTCTGTTAAAATCATGAAGACGCCTGATCTCTGCCTCTAGTTTATTCCTCATGGTTTTTTCCAGAGCATCCCGTTTGGATGAGCTCTTCACTAAACTCTCATATGCCTCTGACAGGTGCACAGTCTCCGCCTCCAACTGGAAATACAGCATAAATTCCAATTAAAGCTGCACGATAGTATAAGCATGACAATGTCCTCCTGTCAGTGTGCTGTATTGCAATCATACTGGGCAGTATCCCAACAATATTTTCATAACCACAGCCCCACATTCCCATTAAAGTTTATTTCCTTTATGAACCACTTCCTGTCACGTGTAATAACTACACTGTATTTTCAATATTACTTTGCACAATTCCATATTAGTTTGTATTATAAGAGCACTTTAGTCAGTAAATAGTCTGTAATAATGAGAAGTTTTGATTATCAGAACCCCAAATTCTGTTTCTTCTTTGCTTCTAATATTATAAGATAGACAGACAGGTGGACAGACACACAGACAAAGTACCCGCTGTAGTTTGCTGGCCTTCTCATTTTGCTTGTGGAGTTCTTGTCTAAGTCTTTGGTTTTCTTCTTTTAGGTTCTCCAGCATCTGCTTGGCATGGCTTACCATGGCAAATGTTTCCCCTGTGAAAGGCTGTCCAAAAGGGGCCACACAAGAAAACAGCCCCTGAGTCACAGATCCAGGCTGAGCTGGAGGAAATGCCAGGGACTGAGATAGGGATATAGCCTGATGCTGTTGCTGATAAGCCTGTGAGTGTAGGATACAAGTCTCAGAAGTCATGGGACTGGTCTGTGTTTGGTGCTGTGATGTAGACAAAGGGCACTGTCTAAAATACAGAAAGACAGTGAGTGAAACAGGTGAAAAGTGTACATTTTTCGAATTTAAAACAGTTTATCATATACAAGTTGAATAGACAGGAGTTAATTTAATGCAGAGACAACTATAAATAAGTCACTGGTATGTTGGCTTACAGTATAAACATTGAGCCACCATAAAAACATTGTTTGTTTTAATGGCCCAACATGTCAGTGTTTGGCTCAGCCAATGACATGTAATAATCCTGTACCCGTAAAAAGCTGTTTAGGGGAATTTGGAAAGCATTATTTTTGTAGTTCCAATTGGTGCTGCTAGTAGTACAGATATTACACAATTCACCTTTAAGTTTCTGTTACCATTACTTTGCTATATTTCTAAGTGGCACTGTCTCCAACATGGCTGCTGTCAAGGTATCACTGTTGAAGTGACCATGTTCCAGAGAGTCCGAGTTGGGGTGTAATGTGGGCGAAGTCATAGTCTGTAACTTGAATTTAAAGGGATATTCTGGGGGAGGACCTCTTTGATCCAAAGTCCACTGTGGAGGGTTTAAGGGTGGTGGTGGAAGTTGTAGGGTACTCATGGAGGTCTTACTAGTTAGTGAGAGAGAATTTGCTGTATTATCAGCCCCACAAAGAGTAGTGTCTCCTGTGCAAGGTGAATTGGATGGTCCTAAACATTGCTTAGCTTCACCTTTTTTCTAGACTGAGGTGCATGATCCTTTCACTTAGAAAGCGAACATGACCCTGTTTCAACTCTGCCAGACCTTCATCACAAAGAAATGTACCACCAGTGCCTCCTGGCTGGACCAATGACTGATCCTCCAAAAGCGCCTTCATGGGAACCACTGAGAGAGAGGTGTAAGAAGACGAAAGAGAAGGAGGGGAAGAGAGTGAGTATGTGTTAGAAAGTGATGGTAGACAGGAATGTGAGCTTGTGGGACTGTCAGACATTGTTGACAACTGTTGTATCTGCTGAACCGGGTTGTGTTGCTGCTGACTTTGGTGGACAGTGTTTTTATGGCCCTCTTTGTGAAAGTTCTGGTCCTGATTTTTTTGAAAATTGTTTGAAAGGTCATCTGGATTTTGAAGACTCTGGTGGTTGTGGCCAGGGATTTGGCACTGAGGGTCCATCAGACTTTGCTGTCCTCTGTAAAGCTGAGACTGGATTTTAGCCTCCTCGTACAATGGAAGCTCCAGGGTGTCAAACCCAGACAAAATCTGGGCCGCTTGGACTGCTCTACCTGCACCCTGGCTCACACCACCAGCTTTTTCCATGGAGCTGCTGTCCACTTGATGCTCCTGACCTTGAGGTTCCTGTCGAGACTGCGACTGCAGGGGCACAAGCTGATATGAATGGGCTACTTGACCCTCCTTTTGAAGGAGTAGGTTTACTGTAGACGCAAGTTTGCTTGGCATCTGAGAACTGTCGTTTTCTACCCCTCCTCTGATTCCACTTGTTCCGTATCTGAGATGTTCTTGCATAAGCCTATGAAGCACAGTTCCAGATGCACTCTCCTCAGAACCATGCATGTCTGCTGCTGCACGGGTAGGCAAAAGGTAGCACGGATATGTTCAGATGAATTGGATGATGTTACCTGCAAAAGGAAAAGGGGCGATTGATTATTCCAATACTGCTACATAAACATCAAGAATAACATGTGACAAATAATCAAGATTTACTTCTAAGATAATATATTTAAAATAAATTGATCGTGCTTATAGACAGGGACATGACTAGGCCCTGGCAACTGGGCTATATCCTGCATGTTTTTTAATACAAATTTCAAAACATTTTCAAACAATTTCAAATTTCAAACACCCATGTGAATTTTGCAGCGCACCCCATTCAACGTGGAGCATTTTAGTATGTATCAGTTTATTATACTGGTATAATATACTGGGTTTTTTTTTTGTTTGTTTGTTTGTTTTTTTACACATAGTAACAGTTCTATTTAGATCCATATCATCCTGAAGAACCCTTTTGTGCTGAACTGGTTCTTTCTGTTAGTGTTTAGAGTTTTTTATTCCCACCTTTTTGTTTTTCAAATCTACAACTGTCAAAGCCACCTTATTACTGATTTTCTAGAGCTCAACCATCCAACTACACAGACTATCAGCACACACTCAGCAGGTAAATTATTTAATTCTCAAAATGTCTATAAATTGTAACTTTTGAATTATAACTGGTTTCTGACCAGTCGTGTCTTTTTCTCTTTTTAGTTATTTTAATAAAACACAACCCCACAACCCTGATTATCTACAGAGAGAAGCTGCCACTCAAAATATACCCATAATGATGGACATGAAGATCATAGGGGATTGTGAAGATATTTCACTGATCTCTCTTTCACTGTGACCTGTTAATGGTTTATCTATTTATGTATTTATTCATGTTCAATGCCAGTTATCATGTATTCAGCTAATAACTGTTGTTAGAGCACTGTCATTTGTGCTACAATTTCAATAAAATGTCAATAAAAAATAAAAGTACCAAATTCACATGGCTTGCCATTTTTTATGCAAAACCCTAATAGAGGCCACAAGATACTATAAGACAAGGCAAACAGAGGGGTAAAAACAATATTAATAAACAACAACAAAAAAGAATAATAATGAAAATGTTATGCATGTTAGAGTTTTCATTTAAAATTATTAGAGCTTAATTAGATACTTCTTTAAGCACTTACATACATTTTTGCTTATTTGACACAGTATCTGGGGTTGTCACCCAATGATGACATCAACACCTGCATTCTCCACTGACTGTTTTAAATTACTTTCTCACATTGAAAATGTGAAAGTGGAGGTGATAGAACAAGTGTTGTTGAATTACCAACTAAACTGGATAAAATTACAATGAAATGTAGTATCTTTATTAGCAAAATATGTTTTGTGATTTTGAAAACATTTAATACTTAATTAAAACATTTAATATAAAAAAAAACGCAAATTGTCTTTAAAAAGTAAGTTATAATATTAACACATACTTAAATGTAATATGTATTTTGTTAGGCCAGGGGTGTCCAATCCTGCTCCTGGAGGGCCACTGTCCTGTAGAGTTTAGCTCCAACCCCAATTAGACACACCTGAACCAGCTAATCAAGGTCTTACTTGGCATAGAGCAGGGGTAGGCAAGTTCGGTCCTAGAGAGCTGCAGTCCTG